TTGAATAATTTATTCATACAAAATAATAAAAATACGAATCATGTTTAAGTTTAAACTGTTTCCCGGCGCATTCGCCATTTTTGTAAGAGTTTACCGAATATTTTTATTAGTAATAATTTTAATTATTTATATAATAGATTTTAATCGGACAAATTTAATGGTCAATAGAAATAAGAAAAAAAGTTTATTATAAACTTGTATGCTTTAAAGCCACTGCTTTTTACGAGTTTGATATTAATTATATTTAGGTTTAGCAATTAAAAATATAACTTTTTGACCATGATCTCTACATTTTCAAGAAAAAAATAAATGTGTTTATCTACTCTTAACCATAATTTTTTCAGGGGCAACCGAATAAACAAATTTTATTTTTTCTTAAAAATAAAACAAGATAGGGAAAAAATTCAAGAGACAAAAATGTATTTTTAATTGCTTAATCTAAAAATAATATTAAACTTATTAAAAATCAGTAGCGAGGATTAACCAAATTAAATTTAATTACATTTAAATTAAGCCCTTTATGCATTACTTAAGTTTATTAAGTTTTATTAAATTTAGAGTTAAAAAAATAGTATGTATATTGTGCAACTAGTGGGAATAAGTGGAGATTTCTCGAGCGTGGAGAGGAATCTTCTCTTTTGACCAATAGACGCACACAAAATTTTATTTAACAACCACAAAAAATTTAAAGCCAATTTTATTTTATGTTTTATCTGACATATGACAGCTGTCAGAATGCTATTTCGCCCCAGGCTTAAAATTAAAAAATTAAATAGGATTGAATAAATATATATTTTATCTACTCTCCCATTGATAAGCATTGACTTTAGAGCGTTCTATTCACCTGCTGAAGTTAGCAATAGTGGCTTTCAAGCATTTCAGTCAAGGGCTGAATTTAGCTTTATTATTAATTGGGAAAAAGTGAAGTTTAATCCGTTGACAGTTGACAAATGTCAAATGTTTAACAGGTAAAATTGGCTTTAAATTCTGTTTTGTGTTAATCGAAGATAAAGTATAATATGCAACTCGTTTTATAAACTTCTCTAGACACTCGTTTTTATCAAACACTCGCTCAACAAGCTCGCTCGTGCCTAATAAAACTCTTAACTAAAATGGCATTTATAAAACTTGATACATAATATGCCATTACCTACTCCCACATTGACAAGCTGTGATTTTATGGTGTTTAAGTCACGGGCTGAAGTTAGCTTTATTATAAATTGCGAAAAAGTAAGATTAAATTCGTTGGATGTCAAATATTTAACAATTTAAATTTGTTTACATTCTTATTTCTGTTCGTCGTAGATAATAGTAAATTATGTATCAAGTTTGATAAACACCATTTAATTTAGGCCTGAGCCAGCTTGCGAGTGAGTGCTTAAATTAATGAGTGTATATAGAAAAGTTAATAAACGAGGTGCATACTATGCTTTTTCTACGACAAATACTTATTATTATCTTAAAATGATTTAAATCAAATATTTATATAGAGCGTCATCTATGAAACAATAGAGGAAACTGTGTGTCACCGTCAAATGTCAAATTTTTATATTTTATAAACACAGATTATAAAGGTTATAAATCGAAATGTATTCCTTGAAAATGGACAGTTTTTCACAGTAAAACTAAGGAAAATGGTTTATGAGCACTTTACAATGGAGTCCGTGCCCGAATTTAAGTTCAATGTTCATATAAACTTTTCAAATATTGGCGTTGAGAAACTATTTAATACTTGTGTATTTTTGTATTGAGATAAAAATAATTTTTACATTTAGTATTATTTTAAAGATTGTAGGACATTTGACAACTGCCAACTAACTTAAAACTAACTTCAGCCCGTGACTAAAACGCCATAAAGCCACAACTTGTCAATGTGTATTTAAAAGGTCACTTAGTGTTATGGAACCATGTACGATAAGGGGCGTTTTAAAGGTGGGAGTAGAAAAAGTATATTGTGCAACTAGTTTTAATAACTTTCCCTGTATCTCGAAAAATATGCAAAATTGTATAAAGTTTTTTTATATATCGTCTAGTAAATTTTCCCGATTAAAATCTGAGACATCCTGTATATAATAATGTATTATGTAAAATGTTACAAAAATGGCGAATGCGCCAGGAAAGTTTGAACTTGAACATTATATTGTTTTGTATTATTTGGTATAAGAACAACTATTTCATGAGGTATTAACATTAATGGTCCCCTTTTATTAATTTATTTAAAATGTTTAATATTTTTTTTGGTACAATGAAAACTGTAGTTAAAAATTTTAACAAATAAGAAGTATTTTTTATTTATGCTTTTTATTAAAAGTTTTAAAAATATGGAATAAAATATTAAAATAGTAAAAACTAAAATAAATAAATTCCAAATATTTCTCACAATTAAAACAATATATTATTTGCCTGTAAAATACATAAACAAAGAAATAACTTGTTACTAATGTTAAAATATTTAAAAAAAATTGGTGTTGGACAATAAAAACAATTGGATATGCAGCATGCAATTTGGTAATACAAATAGAAAAATTGTAATGTTATTTTTGAGTTATTATAAAACGATTTAAAAGTTTAAATTAAAAAAATTAAAAATTTTAACATTCAATATTTTCTATATTATTAATTATGCATTTATTGCAACCTAAAGTGTAGTAAATAAAAAATACCAACTAAATAAATTATTAACTAAAAGCCTAATAAAATTACCTAGATAAGTCCCCGTATTTCTTGCAGTGAAAAGTGAAAATAGATAAACACTTACCGAATGTTTATGCATGAGGCATGGACACTGATTGGCTGGCACACCACCGGACTTGGTTAGGTTAGTAAACACGAGCTGGTTAAATAATGGATTTAAAAGTTGGAAAAGGAGGTCTTTTGGTCAAGCTCGCGCATGAGTGTGTTTCCCTACTGACCTTACGACCCTCCAGGAGTCGGACCTTATCACTGAAATTATTAACAAAATCCCATTGAATTTTTGATATATCGTATCCTGTGCTCGGACTCCGACACGCTCGTAATCTTGTAATTGGGTTTATGTGATTTTTGTGCATAAACATATTTTTATTTGATATGGCTGACTAAGTGGGTCACCTCGGTTTTTTAACGGAAACAGGTCAAAACTAAATTATGGTCTAATGTCCTAAAGGACTTTTTTGTGGTAATAAGAAATATCCAATATTTTTTTTATCCTTTCGATGTTAATTTTAACTTATATATATTAATACATAATTAATTAATATATAATATATGAAAATATGTTTTCCGAAACTCAATGCATTGATAACATAACAGCGTTAGTAAAAGAATTAATATTTAATCTAGGATTTGTCGAATATGTTCATGAATGAAAAACCCGTGAAATTAATAATTCTAAAAATGGCGAATGCGCCGGGATAATTTTTTTTTTTTTGTTTTTGAATTTTTTCATTTCTTTTACCCAAATGAAAAAAATTTTATTTATAATTTTATAAAATAGTATTTTTAAATGCTCACAAAATTTTTTGTTTTTGAGAAAAAAATCACACAAAATATTCAAAATATAATTATATACAATTTTGGCCCTTCTATGTGCAATAATACTAATTATTTTTTATTTTACAAGAATTGTCTGTTTAACCGAAACCTCTTTTTTGAAGGAACAATTTTGTGCTGAAAAGCATAGCGGTTTTTCTGGTTTAGCTCTAGATTTTAAAATACAAACAATATGCAGTTAAAAATTCTATTTGATAGTAAATCGAAACAAAATCTTTATAGTTATAAATAAATAAATAAATAAATGTTATGATTTATGTAAATAAACGTTAAATATCAAAACATATTAAAATGAATAAAAAAAATAAACATGATATACCTACATATTGAAGAATTAAATTTATAAAAATTTATTTCCTCAAATACTTGTGCAATGCAAAATTATAAATATATTACAAATTATAGAGTTAAGACCAAGCAATTTTTTTAATATGAAAGATAAAATAAAATAAATTAAATGCTTAAAAATTTAAAGCATCCAAAATCCAAAATAGTTAACATAAATCACTTTTTTCACGTATAATTGAACAAAATTTTATGCAATTTCCTACGCATGAAAAGTGATATTTTTTCAAGCGTATAGCAATTTTCATATTATAACACTTATAAGCCTATATAGAAAGACTTCATTCGTGTACAGTTCGAAAGTAAAATTATTATACACCGCCGTACAATAATGAAAATACATTGAAATCCATTGCCTTTAGTATGAAATCATTTAAAACTTTTTAATTTAGACAATGTTTTAAAAATTTAACCAAAATATTATTGTACTTTACGGGTCCAATAGATAAGATATCTTTAGGTAGAAAGGGCTTTCTATGCTAAAATTTTATAGAATTATATTTTGAATATTTTGTGTGATTTTTTTTCTCTTAAAAACCAAAAATGTTGAGCGCATTTAAAAAAACACTATTTTTTTAAATTATAAATAAAACGTTTGTTCAATTGGGTAAAAGAAATGAAAAAATTCACAGAAACGTTCTTTTAAAAATTTTAATTAAAAAAGGTCAATTTGACGTGGAATATGTGATGGTAAATATACAGGGTGTCATGAAATAAGATGTCATCCCTTTGGGGAATAAGTTCACCACAAAGTAAGCAAGTTTTACTTTGGCATTAGTGCCACGGTTTTTGAATAAAAAATCATAAATAATTACTTCATTCTTGGGCATTTGTTCGGCATGACACTGGGTTCGTTCGGGTCGACGGACTAAGTAGAGTCGGCCAGTTTTTAAACTGTGGTGAGATATATCGCAAATATATTTGTTTACACATAACTTTGTTAATTAGTTCAATTTTTAGGATTTATTTGTAGCAATTATGTTTATTATTCTCAATTTTACCTATTAAAAGTTTACAAAGCAAATAAAAACATTTAAACAATTGTAGTAGAGAATATTTTGATTTAAAACATAATTGTAGTAAAAAATATTTTATTTCAAATCCTATCGTAAGTTACCACTTACCCGTTGCCCAATGCACAACAGTATGTTTCTCATTATCAACCGCATTGACATCCGCCTTGTTGGCAAGCAAAAAAGTGACCAGCTGCATATTTCCCGCGATGACGGCGAGATGCAAGGGCGTGAAACCGTCCTCGTCGCGACTCTGTATCAAATCGGGGGCGGCCATGGCCAGCAGGTCGGCGGCCTGAGCCGCCCTCACGCTGTCACTGGTGCTGCAATAATGCAGGGCCGATTTACCGGTTCGGTCTCTGTCAAAAAGACTACCAGACTGAAAACAAAGAAATAACATTTTGCAAAACAATTTAAGAATACTTTTAATGTTGGTAATATGAAATCCCTTTTTTATTTATTACTGAACTGGCCAAGACATTTAGGTACATATACATATGGTATTATAATATTATTTTCTTTATTTTAGTTTTAATATGTTGCTACTGTAATTGTTTTGTTTATTTGTAAAATCATAACTAGGTATAATAAAATATTTAAATTTTTGGTTTTGTTGAAGACCGCTAAATTCATTACGTTATTATTAAAATATTCGGTCAGTATACTTTTACCATAAAAAAACAGTGTACGAATCAAAATATGAATGAATCAATACAAAAATAAAACATTTCATTCTGAATTTTTGATGATATAAAATTTCATTAATAAAATGTGTTGTCAATAAATTACCTTTATAAGCTCACACAAAATTATTGATTTATACTTTATACTATGTATATACTTATTCGAAAAACATCATTAATAAGTTAAAAATAATAACTATATTAAAAGTTCTTAAAACAACACCAATTTTTATTTTAATTTATAAATTAGTATAACTTTTTTTGTTTTCCTTAATGGAAGACTATCGCAAATAACAAGGTAAACAAAAATGCCCGTTGCTATGGCAATACGATGTCATTTTATGGAGGCATTCAACTTATAGATAGTAGATTGTGTTTTGAGTATAGTAGTTAATAGTAATTCAAGCAAGGTTAAGCAAATCTGATAAAATAACAATAAACAATAAAAATGGATCCCATCCCTTGCGAATTAGGGTGAAAACTCAATTATTTTTTTGTTATTTTTTTTTGGAAACCGTAAGTTATAAAAAAACTTACGGGGCATTGTTGCACACAATTTATGTTATGAACATAGGCGTGCGCACGAGGGGAGGTGGGCCGTGGCCCACCTTAATTCATTGACGAAAAAAATTAGTGCCGCTATCTGTTATTAAAATTATCAGATGAGATGTTGTAAACTGTTATAAAGCTAGATTGTTAAATAAAATGGTTTTACTAATGTTTTTTTATATTTAATTAATTAATATAGATTATATATTGATATTGATTTGATTTTGTCATTTGAAAAAGCGCGCGTTGCCTTGTTTCTTTAACGATCTTAACGACTTTTGGTAAAAAAGCGGGCTGCGTTATAGAAAAAGAAACGTTATTGAATCAATGGCCCCCCTTATGAAAAAGCCTGCGCACGCCTATGGTTATGAATGAGTCATAAAATGAAGAATTAAAATAAATATTAATAATTAAAATTTAACAAAAAAAGTTTTTAAACGCAAAAAGATAAAGATATCAAATTATATCTTTGGATTTATTTTGTAATGCTCTTGTAAAATTTAAAACAAATAGGTTAATCAGTGGCGTACATACGGATCAGTGGTTATTTTAGTTTCCGTAACTAAACCTTTTGTAAATACAAGTTTTTCCGTAGTCTACACAGGTATATTTAACATGGCAGAATAAGCATTAAAAAAGACATTACTAAATAATTTATTTGGAATAAAACAATAAAACTTTGCTTTCTTATCTTCTAGTGTTTAAAAATTATTTTAAAAATTAAATTTTTTAACACCATTTAATATGAAATCAAAAACCTAAAATCTACAGTTAAATTTTCTCCCAACATTTCCGGTAAACCCTGTATAAACATAAAAATAAAAAGTCCAGAACTTAATTTAATAATACCGGCGCATTCGCCAATATTGCAAATTCATTTAATATTTTTTTCTACTGCCACCTTTAAAACGCCCATTATCGTACATGTTTCCATGACACTAAGTGACCTTTTAAATACACATTGAAGTTAGCAACAGGTTTTTAATCACGGGCTGAAGTTGGCTTTAAGTTAGTTGACAGTTGTCAAATGTCATACAATCGTTAAAATGAAGTGCCCTTCTTGTAAAATAATACTAAATGTAAAAATTATTTTATTATCGCAATACAAAAATACAAAAGCATTAAATAGTTTCTCAACGCCAATATTTGAAAAGTTTATATGAACATTGTACTGACCGGAAGTAAACTGGATATATAAATTCGAGCTTGGACTCCACCGTGAAGTTCTCATAAAACGGTTTCTTTACTTTCACTGTGAAAAACTGTTGTTAATCGATTTTCAAGGAATACATTTCGATTTATAACCTTTATAACACATTTGACTTTTGACGGTAACACAGAATCCCCTATTGTTTTATAGATAGCGCTCTATACAAATATTTAATTTAAATCATTTTATGATAATAATAATAAGTATTTGTTTTAGAAAAAGTATAATATGCAACTCGTTAATAAACAATTCTAGACACTTATTAATTTAAGCACTCGCTCGCAAGCTCGCTCGTGCCTTAATTAAATTCGTGTCTAAAATGGCGTTTACTGCCACATTGACAAGCTGAAAAGTGAGGTTAAATTCTTCAGATGTCAAATATTTATGAATTAAAATAGGCATAAAATTCTTATTTCTGTTCGTCGTAGGTAAAGTATCGTATGCAACTCGTTTCATAAACTTCTCTAGACACTTGTTTTTTTTAAACACTCGCTCGCAAGCTTGGCTCGTGCTTAATAAAACTATAATACTTAATACATAATATAATATTATCTACTCCTACATTGACGAGCAATGACTTTATGGCCTTTTAGTCACGGGCTATAGTTAGTAACAGTGGCTTCTGGGCATTTTAGTCACGGGGTGAAGGTGGCTTTATTATAAAATAGGAAAAAGTGAGGTTAAATCCGTTAAAAGTTGACACATGTCAAATTTTTAACAATTAAAATTGGATTTAAATTCTTCTTTGTGTTCGTCGTAAATATAATAATAATAATTAAACAAAAACATTTTACGTATTTTACAAACATTGAAAATACTCACTTAGGTACATATATAAAAACATTTTTGTATTAAACATTTTTTGCAGTCCATTTTAAAAGTTTGAGCATTGAATATTTTTTAAATGTTTATGAATTTTATTATATAGTTTTATGGGATGCTACTATAAATTCCTGAGCCTTTCTAGTAGAGTATTTATGATATTTACAATTTTTTTCAAACAATTTAAGATTCTTTTTGGCAAAAATTAAGCAATGGTTAAGGTAAATACAAGGCGTTAAAATATTATTGTTATTAGTACGCACCTTGTTTTATAAACTTCTCTAGACACTCGTTACCTCGTAACTAAAATGGCGTTTACAAAACTTGATACATAATATACTTTTTTCTACTCCCACCTTTAAAACGCCCTTTATCGTACATGTTTCCATGACACTAAGTGACCTTTAAATACACATTGACAAGTTGTGGCTTTATGGCGCTTTAGTCACGGGCTGAAGTTAGCAACAGGATTTTAGTCACGGGCTGAAGTTTTAAGTTAGTTGACAGTTGTCAAATGTCATACAATCCTTAAAATAAAATGCCTTAAGAAATTTCTTGTAAAATAATACTAAATGTGAAAATTATTTTATTATCTCAATACAAAAATACAAAAGTATTAAATAGTTTCTCAACGCCAATATTTGAAAAGTTTATATGAACATTGTACTGACCTTTTAATTTCGCCGGCAGTAAACTATACCTTAAATTCGGGCACGGACTCCACTGTAAAGTGCTCATAAAACATTTTCTTTACCTTCACTGTAAAAAACTGTCAATTTTCAAGAAATACATTTCGATTATACCGTTATAATTGTGTTTATAAAATATAAAAATTTGACATTTGACGGTGACACACAGATTTGGCGCTCTATACAAATTTTTGATTTATATTATTTTAAGATAGGTAATAATAAGTATTTGTCGTAGAAAAAGTATAGTATGCACCTCGTTTATAAACTTTTATATACACTCATTAATTTAAGTACTCGCTCGCAAGCTCACTCGTGCCTAAATTAAATTCGTGTATAAAATGGAGTTTATCAAACTTAATACATAATATACTATTATCATTGTTTATTAAAAAAGTTACACAGGGTATCCTGAATTTCCAACGACTTGAATTTACAATAAAAATGTTGTGTTTCCAGTTACTATAAGCATTTAATTTTAAAATTCACAGATAAAATATTTTTAGTACAAATAATAATTATTATAGTTTTTAAGTTATAAAGCTTTTAGGTTAAAAAAAACAATATTCAAAAATAATTTATACATTCTCGGTTTTTATGGAAACAAATTAAAGCTAAGGCTAATAGGTGTATTTTATGACAGTTTGGGACAATCAAAAAATTTGTTTTTAATATATATGGGGAATTCCACTTGAATTCGACACGAAAAAAAACCCTTGCCATTTCGAAATTCCATGGCAATTTTTCCATGGGTTCCCTGACTCAAAATAAAAATTCAATTTTAATTTTAGCACGGTTTGTCAATTGTTTTTGGAGATATGATTTTTAAAATTTTCATGATTATAACGATTTTCCCAATATGTCATCGATCATAATTATGGTTCCAATTGAGCGATTCTTCGAAAACTAAAAATCCATTTTCTACACTGTTTGTATTTATTTTAATTTTAATTTTTTTGTTTTTAATCTTTAAGCGAATACAAGTTTTTTATCTATATTAGATGGTGGCTAAGAATTAATAATTTTTTAGGAATTTTAAATTTTAATAATTTTGATTTTTTATACTTTTGGAAATTTTGTAATATCAAAAATGATTTTTTTATTTAGCCCTTTAAAATTGTTTAAAAAAAAATAAACAGTAGTGCCTATGAATTCATTTATTTTCAATCTTAAAATAATTATGAATAATAATTTTTTTTTAAAACGATTTTAATAGTTAAAAGGGCAAAATACAAAAAGATTAAATAAAAAAAAATTTTTTTGATATTACAAAATGCCCGAGTGGAAAAAATCAGAATTATTAAAATTAAAAATTCCGAAAAAATTATTAATTTTTCGAGAGCCACGATCTAATATAAACTGCGCACCACTCAATGTGTCGCGACCAAAAAGTTCGCCCTTTTTCAAAACGGCATAACTTTTTTGTTTCTTGAACGATTTTATTTTGGTCTGTGATGTCTGCTAACCCCATTCTCTGGCAATTCATGGTATAGAGTTGAAGCTCACGGTTCGTCAAGTAAATTTCCTACAGAGTTATATGTTAAACGGTAAAAAATTTCAATAACTTCATCCAAGCCCCGTTTGAAAAAAAAAATTTCTCGTTTATACTTTGAAATAATGAAGAATTATGTCTTACCTTGAAAGGGATTTCAAATTTTTCGAATTGGAATCTTAGCAACGAAAATCTGATTTTTTTTACAAAAGGCTTTTTGGTAGGCAATACACTCAGTCTTTTTAAGAACAAGAAAATAAGATGGTGAAAGATTGTTCCTTGAATAATTCTGAACAAGCGACAAGCAGCAAACTTCCATTATTTTCAAAGGGGCCTAAGTAAAGACCACTTTTTCAAAATGACATTTTGGTAAAAATTTGCGAAAACTAAACCTGAATCGATATTTACGTTCGTGACATGTTTTCTTTATAATTTTGACCTCCTGATTGTGATTCAGTTGTCAAATTTAAGTTTCAGATAAAACCAAAATCATCATGGTTATTAAGACATTTAACAGCCGGGAACTGTTTTCGAATTTTGATTCTTGCAAAATCAGAATCAAAATTCGAAAACAATTCCCGGCTGTTAAATGTCTTAATAAAATCCAAAAAAAAATCATATCGTCGTTGCTAAGATTCCAATTCGAAAAACTTTAAAAATATTTCAAGGTAACACATAATACTTCACCGTGAGCTTCATATCTATAGCATGAATTGCCAGAGGATAAGGCTAGCAGACATCACAGACCAAAATTAAATCGTTCAAGAAACAAAAAAGTTATGTCGTTTTAAAAAAGAACGAACTTTTTGGTCGCGACACATTAGCTGGCCATACACAGACGTTATTTCGCGCGGTTTATCGTGGCGTGTTGGGATGTAGCGGTTAGTATGCACGAAAGAACGGCATGGCAAAAAAAGCGTCATGTTCCATACACTTGATAAAGTATTCAAATGATTTAGCAAGTGATTGCGCGTAGTATATCAGTTTCAAAGGAAAAATCGTATGTGAGTAGGCAAAAAGTGTCACGTGACGCGGAATGTGGCGTGTGGCGTGTGGACACTGCTGAAATGATGTACGCCACAATCCAGAGGAAAGCACGTCTGAAATACCTTCCCGTTCTATCATTGCGCGAGGAGATACTCACTCACGTACATGATTTTACATATATTTTTGCAGATAACACGATAAACCGCGCAAAATAACGTCTGTGTATGGCCAGCTATTGAGTGGTGCGCAGTTTAGATAAAAAACCTTGCATCTATTCGCTTAAAGATTAAAAACAAAAAAAAATTAAAATTAAAAAAAAATACAAACAGTGTAGAAAATGGATTTTTAGTTCTCAAAGAAAAAAATCATAGTGTGCCGATATGCCACAGCACCAAAAATATTTATTTCAAATAGCTTGTTTCAAGACAATAAAAAAGATTGGTCGTTCGTCGGAATAGCTTAATTGAAACCAAATCGTTATAATCATAAAAATTTTAAACAATTGACCAACCGTGCTAAAATTAAAATTTAATTTTTATTTCGAGTCAGGGAACCCATGGAAAAATTGCCATGGAATTTCGAAATTGCAAGGGCTTCTTTCGTGTCGAATTCACGTGGAATTTCCCATATGTACTTTTATGTAAATAAATGGTCTCAAAAAATCATTAAACTTTTGTTTTAGATTTTATCATACAAACTTAAAATAATCTCATCGGGTTGTTTGTTAATATTTTTTAATATCAACCAAAAACTATCAAAAAGAATATAAATCATTAAAAATAAAAGTAGTGCGACAAATTTAAATATATAAATAAAAAAGCTAACCTGCGTCTTGAGTATACTCCTAACGGCGTCGACGTCGCCCTGCTGCGATGCGTACATGAGCCCGGTGACGGCGCCGCCGCGACGCTTCTCGATGTAAACGCGGCGCCGGTGTCGCGCCAAGTGAGCCCCCGTGGCGGCGCGGGCCACTGCCAACGGCGCCTCCGTCGCGTTCTTCCGCCCGGCACCGCCGCGTTGCCGCTCCTCGCCCATCTCATCGTGGGGGCTGAGCGCCCCTCAACACCTGCCACGGCCATCGCATTGCAAGAAAGTTGCCTGAAAAAATGTTTCAACGATTTGATAAACTGTATTTTTGGTGCAAAAAACATTTTTACAATTTATATTAGCAATTTAAAAAATAAAATCTATGCACGACACTGGATTCACCTCCCCTAGTTTTAACAAATAAAAAACGCAATAGAAACTTAAAACAACAATTAAACAAAAAATAGAGAATTCCAACAAATTTCTACAATTTGATTTTCGTCACCATTACTAATCTACCATTAATTTTAATACACTTTCTTATTAAATGGCTTGGTCGAAGAAGGGTCTAAGTGCAAAAACATAGTTCGAAGTTAATTACAATTAAAACGATTGTGATTTAATTAATTTTTGTCGTAAACGGTTGAAACTTGGAATATGTGTTGGATAAAATTTATTTTTTTCATTGCAAAAAAGTTCTTTGTGAGAGTTAATAAAATTAAAACGTTTTTGTCACATAGGCCCATAGTGTAATTATTTGATGACAAATATGTCCAAACTTTAGGGCATTTTAATTTCACATTGGCCTCAAATTATGTTACTTTGACCCTTACTTAAAATTTAGTTGCACCAGGGTCTTTGTTTAAAAAGTAAATAAGAATAACATTAAAAATGTTATTAAAATATTTTTTTTAATTTGCAGAAAATATGGATCTTTTTATAACATTAAAACATGTACATAACACAAAAACATTAGCTTTATTAGAATAAACTATTAATCAACAAAACAAAGCACATGCATTTATATAATAATCAAAAATACTACTATACATTATTCATCAAAAACTAACTGCTGGACAAACGTCATCAACATCATCTTCTGAAGATGATATTCATTTAAATTATTATTAATAAATTTATTTATATTCTCGTTATGTTTTAAATTATTATAAAACAATCTATTTTTTGGATACATGTATAAAAGGCAATCTTATGATATCGTCCAACCGGGTTTTCCTAAGTGACACTTAAGCCCATTTCCATATTAAATTTTGAATGTAAAAAACGGCATAAAATTACATAGGTCCAATATTTAAGGGCTTATAAGTCACTTGTGCCATTTTTAGTATCAAAATACGTTTACAGAAATAACTTAGGTCCACAAAATGAAGGCCTATCATGAACGTTGCTCCTTTTTTCTTAACCATAATTTTAGTTGGGCCCTTATTATATTTTTTTTCGGTTATTTTTGAAAATAATGGAATAAAATCTTATTCATATTGTAACGTTTTTTTAACTGTTCGTAGTGTGAATTAAAACACGCACTGGTTAATTAACGAACTAAACTATTTATTTAATAACTTAACTACACTTAAAACACCATAAAACTAACTAATCACTTAACTACTAATTATTTATATCACTACTAGTTTATTTATTTGCACTTATATTTATTTATTTCTTCGCGAGTACCAAAGCTCAACTGACTGCTCTGTGAAGCGCCGTTTCTTATATATTTATATATATATTTCTTACAGCGCCTACGTCTTCTGGAACATTCCAGCGAGCTCCACACTCTCGATTATTCGAGCGCTGAGTCACCGGCGATGACTCATCGGCGATGAGTCATCATTCCGAGATCCAGAGCCGAACTCGCTACAATATGAAAGATCAGGTTTAGGTAAGTAAGATAAGCCATATAACTTAATTTCGGTAAAAATGCACTTAGGCCCTTTTTCGACCAAGCCACAGATTTGTTCTGGAGTAATGGCTGAGCAGGCTTGTATCACCCTAGCCCGTAGTACTTGAGCAGTAGAAGTGACGAAAATCGAATTGTAGAGAATTTTTTAAATTCTCTTTTTTTGTTTAATTGTTGTTTTAAGTTTCTATTGCGTTTTTTATTTGTCAAAACCGAGGTCAAAACTAAGTTTAATTTTATTCCAATGTTAAAATGTTAAAAAATTTTCATGTATAACTTGACAAAATAAATTTGTTTATAGTTGGCAACAAAATTGTTCCTACTTAAAAAAATTTAATAAAATTTAGTAGGTATAGGGTATAGGTTTTAAGGGTTGGTAAATTTTTTAATCGCTAAAAACTGCAAAGTAAGCCTTGTATTTTGTAAAAATATGGCGTTTGCTCGAAAAATACAGTTTATTAAGATCTATACTTTAAAACAAATCAGGTTTAAATCGCACAATAAATTTTACATTTTATAGGGGTGAGTCGCAAACAAATGGGTCACACTGTATAACGAGTTAACAAAACCTATATATATAATATTGTATTTGTTGCTAATCGATACTATTTTAGTCTTTAATTTTAATTTACCATATAGTATACTAATAGTTATTATACTAGTGTAATAGCCAGGGCCGGCATCTTTTCATTTTGACGTGTGGTGCTCATCTACAGTTGGTTGGTAGCAGTGGTTAATGGATGGGGGGTGTGGGTATTTCTTTCTTTGGGGGTTGCGGAAAGGAGAACAAAATAAAATTGGAATAGTTTTTTAGTCAATTTATTTATCAAACTCTGTCACATTTTATATACAGAGAAAGTTTATATATCCCCGTAATGATTAAATTTATCGGTATAGTAGAAATACCCTAAATACATTTCGTGACGTGTTATTCCTACTACCAAGATACATACACTTATACACAGTGGCGGCTCGTAGGTTTTGAAAGAGAGTGGGCACAAAAAACTTACCTACTAATTTTTGTGTTTTAAATCATCTAACCCATGTTGAGTCCACGCACTAATCTCTTTTTTGAAAATTAAGCACATAAAACAAAAAAGCTTACTTGTTACTGAACAACCGCATATCCACTCGTATTTATCATATACATACATATGTATATTTCTGTTGAATACTCTATTGTAAGATCGGCCTTTACCTGTGGAAGTGTAGTTTATTCGAAGATCGGGAATAGGTCTTTCTTTTTCCTTAAAAGTTTATCTTCATGTGACATCGGGCTTTTTAAAAGATTTCTGCACACAATTTACTTCCGCTGGTTCCATTATTGTTAATAAAAAATAAAGTTTATTTAAAAAACAAAACACGTAATTCACAACTCAAAAAAACACAACAGCGCGCGGCGACAAAAAAGTTATAAATCAAACCAACCGACAAAAACTCTCTGCAAACTGGCTACAAGAGACGAGGCGCTCGGGCACCGAGCCTCGGTGCCCCAAATTGACGATATATTCGCGTACTGCGAGGATAACCGAAGATCACCGAATAATGCTTGGAATGGGAACATTTAAAATTGTGCCCCGGCGCAGTGTTGCCAGATTCGCAATCTGGCCGGCACAGCGTTTTGCTCGCTGCAGCGTTGCGTAAAGAAGGTTTAAATCCAACCGTTTGAGCTGACGAAAGGAAGGTGTGAGACCATCCTTAAATATATTTAAAAGTAATAAAAGTTATTTGTTGCATTGTGCAGTATTTTAGTTTTACGTAACACCATTGTAATTACTATAGTAATTACAATGGTGTTACGTAAAACTAAAATACTGCACAATGCAACAAATAACTTTTATTACTTTTTATCTGGGCGGTTGGGTGGGCACGTGCCCTTGTGCACTTTATACATACTATACCGACCGACTTTGATACTTTGGATTCCTCAGCTTCCACCGTAAATTTGTAGAGGGCTTTGGTGTGTATCCCAGGCTAGCTGGATAAAAAATTTAGAGACCGCAAAAGAAATGCAATTTTTCTGCTGAAGATATGTGTGGTGCTGAGCACCACCATTTTCCTTTACGTGTGGTGCTTGAGCCCGCGAGCACCGCTATTGTCGCCGGCCCTGGTAATAGCAATTATATTTATCTAATGCATATTATAATATGGTCATTCCATAAAATAAATGATTACAGGGTAGGATCTTAGATTTAAAAAAATTTAATTATCGTTAGATTACACCTAAATTAACACAAAAAAATTACCATCCCCCTTTACTGTATGTTTTTGAGAGGGAGTCAAATTTCGGAATGTACCGTTTTACAGGCTTAATTATGATATAATTATATCATAATTAAGCCTGTAAAACGGTAACATTGCATTCCGAAAACATGTAGGTTTAATAAAAAAATGTTTAAAATTATTTGAAAAGGTAATGACAGACCAGGGCTGGCCAAGTACTCAGTAATTTTACTCGTATTTCAATTACTCATAAGTATTTTTCATTTGAAATACTTATTACTCGTACTTACAAACCAAATTCAATGTACTTGTAAAAAATCCTCGTGGAATTCAAAAGTAATATATACGAGTATTTCCGTTTATTACATTGATGACTTTTAAATTATAATATAATATAATAAATTAATAATAATTATTATTAATAATAATTAATTAATATAATTAAACCTATATTATATTATAATATAGGTTTAATTCAAGTATATAGGTAAAATTATAAACTATTTAAGAATTGTTATTTTTATTTATTATTTTATGTACAGGGTGATCCCCTATAATGTCGCCCCCCCATAATTTTATTATTTTAAAAGTCCCAAAAAATTAAAAAGTGTGGTTATATAGGTACTAAAAAATACTTTTTTTCTACGTTGAAAATTTATAGGCATACAGGGAAAAACAAAAAGTTTATTTTTTCTCAATGGATATATGAATTTATTTTCCGATTCCTTGTAAAATTCTAAGCATAATTTATATAACATACCATATACCTAAATTCAACCGTTCTGAAATATTTAAATTATTTTTAAGATAATAAGTTAAAATAGTTTGTTTTTCTCGGTCTGAATACGCCATTTTTACTTACTTAACAAGTCATATTGACATAATGTCACTATAGTTCTTTATTTTCAATAAACATTTTGCTATTTTAAGGCTTCTTGATTTGTAAAAAAATATTTGATGATAACGTACGAATGCGAATATTTCAGAAACGGTTGAAATATAAGGTATAAGGTATATATATACCTTATACCTTATATGGTATATGGTATGTTATATGATTTATGCTTAGAATTTTACAAGGAATCGA